CAGGAGGCTTGTCCATTAGAAGTGCTGTCAAAGAGCAGAAAGCTGAAATTCTAGTTAAGCCAAAACCCATTCCCACTGCGTAAGGCAGGTGAGCAATAGCACTGCTGAACACTGCGTCACTGACATGTAAACGAAGCCTCACTGAGTGCTTACTTCCAATAACCAAAAATCGGATGACTAAAAGGAGGCCTCAGAGGTTACCTAACCCAAGTGTCCTTATCCAGGTGAGGCAGGAACTGAGTTACCCCATGCGGCAACTGTCTACCCGTCTATTTGTTTTCTCTCAGTCCTGGGGAATCCAGGCCCTCGCCCTGCAGCGGGCCACGTGAGTTCCCCACTCCTTGTTACAGATCAACTGGGCAGGGCCTCGACGCTGCCAGGGCGCAGACAGCCAGACCAGGCTCCACGTGAGCCCGAGGACTCGGGGCACCCACAGAAGGTGTGCCACCGGCCTGGGAGAAGCTGGTAGTGAGCCCTCTGCAGGGCTGTCGAAGCCCGTGCCCTAGGGAACAAAGCTCTTGAAGAGAATACGAATTGGAAAAAGTAGTAATTCTGACTTTAGCAAAGTTAGCTCACTAAGAATCAAAGAACGCCAAGTGCAGTCTACTGAATTTCTTAATTCCCACCTGCCTGGCACTGCACACGACTAGGAGCACCAGGTACCACACCGCCCGCCCCGCGAGTACGGCCAGGGTAGCGGCTGCTTTCAGGGGGTGCGGTGGGGGGCAGAAAGAGCAAGAGAAGGCAACAAGCAGCGTCCCTACTTGACCAGAATCAAGGCCAGGGGGTGGCTGTAAACACCAATGTGCCATCGAGAGACATAATCAAGCTTCTCCTCACTCCGTTTACAACACAGGTTTTACAATCCAAAGAGGCCAAGAATGAAAATCAGGCCTTCTTCACGGCTTTCCTCACAAAGGACCGCCCTCCTTTCTCCAGGGTGTTCTTTTATCTCACTTTTTCCTTTTTTTCTCAGCCCGTGCTCTCCCTCAGTCTTCATTTTTACTTTTCAAATAAACTTTGATACTGCTTTTTTTTTTAGACAAGGTCTCTCTATGTAGTCCGGGTTAGATTTGAACTATGTAGCCCAGGTTGGTCTCGAACTTACATTGATCCTCCTGCCTCAGCCTCCCGAGTGCTGGTGTGTGCCACCACATGCTCAGCCTACCAGTGCCTTTTGCTAGTTTTGTTCAATTCCCTGACTGAGATAGAAGAATCTGGAATCTAACTCCAGAAGAAAAGACAAACAACCCAGAATCCAGTGATGTTTAACTTGCAAGCCATTTTTAGAAGGAGCTACCCAGCTGGGCGTGGTGGTGCACCCCTGGAATCGCAGCGTTAGGGAGGCTGAGGCGGGAGGATGCCTATGAGTTCAAGGCCAACCTGGGCTACATAGTGATTTCAAGGCCAGCCTGAACTATATGGGGAGATCTTGTCTCAAAAAATTGGGAAAAAACAAAAAAAAGAAGGAGCTGTCCAATAACATTTTGGCATCGCCAGTAGATTCCAATAACAAGACCCTGTCTCAAAAAGGCAAAATGGAAAATATACACAACAGAGTACCGCCCTGTCATTAAAAAGGATAAATGAGTTATTTGTAGGAAAATGGGTGCGCCTTGAGACCACGACATCAAGTAAATCAGACACAGAAGCTTAAATATCACCTTGTTTCTTACATTAGAAACTCAATATAAATAAACAGCAAAATAAAAGACAGATAATAAGAAAAAGCAGAAAAAAAGTTATTGTAATCCAGTATGGACAATGTATCTAAAGGTATGCCTTGATTTACTATAATTATCTTGTGTATTTTATATTTTTTTGCCTGTTAGTTTAGTTTTAATCTATATGTATGATAATTAACTTTATAAGAGATTATAAGATAAATAAACAAGCTGGGCATGGTGGTGTGTACCTGCCATCCCAGCACTCGGGGGGCTGAGGCAGGAGGCTCGTTGCAAGTTTGAGGCCAGCCTGGGCTACAAAGTGAGCTCAAGGCCAGCCTGAGCTCAGGCTTCCTCCCCTACTGCCTAGCAAAGAAAGCAAAACAGCACCCCAGACAGCTGCGCACATCAATGAGGCAGTGTCACCTGCGCTGAGCCCACCAGCCACAGCCCCCGACAGGGCAGGACTGAACACAGGCCCTCACACACAGGAAGAAGAAACAGCCCCTCAAAAGGGTTGTGCAGCTATCTAGTTCAGGGACGAGGCGTAGATTACTGCCTTCAGCCTCCCATGCTGACTCCTGCCAGTGCAGCATGCAGGCAGCTTCCACTCAGGGATTCTGGAAAATACGCAGTTAGGAACAGACAACTTCGCAGGAGGACCGAGGCTGGAGTACACATCCCTTGCGACGTAGCCTGAAGTGTTACAAAGCCGTGCCTTCCCCACCACCATGCTCTTCCTTCTCTGAGTAACTAGGGGCCTCTCAGACTCCCAGCCAGGCAATTCTGCTCCAAATTACACGATTTTGTGCTGCTGACTGAAATTATATACAGTCTTGTGCCGCTTGCTAATTGTTTCGTGTGTACAAATGCCTTTTTTTCTTGAAATAAAATATGTGAATTACTTGAGAACAGAGCTTAGTCTGATCCTTCAATTGTCAGTTGCCCAACCCTCAGGCTCAGCTGAGTCGCGCACCCGGCAGGCAGCTCGCACACGCGGCCAGACAAGCTGCTCTCCTGCAGAAAGGGCCGAGCGCCGCGGGCTTTCAAAGCGCTGCCCCACGCGCTTGGCTGTGGGCGCGGGCCACCACCCATCGCCGCAGCAGCACCCTGAGACTGTCAGCATGGCTGCCAGGCCATGACAGCCACGGCCTCACCTCCGGGTCCTCTGGTGTCCCGGACCTGCCCCAAGGGCCAGCCCTCAGCAGGCTCCTCCGCCTGCCACCCTCCTGCACCACTCCCAAGGGGAAGCTGTTCGCACAAGACCATCCGCCTCGGCTGGTGCCCTCATTTAATCAGGCTGCTGCAAACGGCTGGCCAAAAGCAATAAGGGCATGACTGAGAGACTGTGGGAGTTTAATATAAAAAAATTAATAAAAAAAGTGGGGGGAGGAGAAAGGGTCTACCTTTAATAGGGCCCTAATTACCCAACTCACAGGATCAGCCCAAATGAGATGGGAGTTTATTTCAGGGGTTTTTTTTAATTATTGTTTTTTTTATATATATATAAATTGCTGCTATGTGTTTTCTTTCCTCTGAGCAATTATGCACCAAGTACGTAAAGAGGAGAAAAAATGTTAATTAAATATAAGGTAATTGTAGAGTTGGCCTGGAGAGAATGGGTCTGAACTTTGGACCATTGCAGGCTCCCAGGGTTTGAAGACTGCTCCGGGCCTCCCAGAAAAGAAAGAAATAAAAATACAGCCAACCAACAAGCGGAAGCACAGTACAGCAGGAAGAGTCCTGCACACAGAGCCGAGCACAGAGAGAGGCCTGGAGGGCTACGGACGCCCAGGGTCAGCACGCCTGCCGACCGCTCGGCTCCCAAGCAGCGACCCAGCCGCACCCCAAAGGTGGACTGGCTGCTCTTCTGCTGGTCAGTAAACGGTTAAATCAGCAGATCGAAACTCAAGGGAGACTGAGGAGGCGCAGGACCGCAGAGGAGCACTGTGCTCGGGGCGGGCATTAGTCTAAAGCGGTGCTTCAGCTTGAGGGGGCTCTGCGCGCACCCCCAGGGGGCCGACGGATGGGCAGAGGGAGGCCTCCTCAGCCTCACTCCATGGAAGAACCCAGGCAATACTTTTTTGGGGCGGGGGCGTGGACCAGGAATCAAGCTCACGGCCTCGTGCTTGCTGGGCAGGCGCTGTGCCACTGAGGCAATCCCCAGCCCAACCCAGGCAATACAAAAGGAGCAAAATAAGGCCACCGTGGGAGTGCTAGGACACGAGCCCATGATTGTGACAGCAGACGGCATGAATGACAACATCTCACACCTCTGAAACAGGCCCAGTAGCATGTACATCGCCTTACCTCGGCCCAGGAAGGGCTCAGACCAGCTAAGCACCCCAAGTTACCCCTTCCACTGCGGCCAGAGTGACGCCGCCAGATGCCACCTCTGGTGCTGCTGAGAGAGGCTGGGTGTCCCTTGTGCTGGATGGAGAGAGGAAAGGCTCCAGGAGCGAAGCCAACACTGGCTCCCCAGTTCAACTCACCCCCGGATTTGAAGAAGGCCCTGAAATGCCACATGGAACAAAAATGGGGCAGGCCACAAGGGACTCTGGCTTGGCTCACCAAAGCCAAAGCACTTTGTAAAGACTCGCTGTGCCGGGGACATAGCTCAGGGCACAGCACCTCCTTGGCCAAGCGCAAGGTCGTGAGTTTGAGATTCTCGGTATAAAAAAAAAGACAATATGCCGGGCGTGGTGGCACACGCCTGTAATCCCAGCACTTGTGAGGCTGAGGCAGGAGGATCACTGTGAGTTCAAGACCAGCCTGGGATACAAAGGGAGCTCAAGGCCAGCCTGAACTGCATAGTGAGACCCTGTCTCAAAAAGACAAAAAAAAAAAGACAATGTCTGTTAGTACTTAGTAGGCCTCTTCCTTGTTCGTAGTCTCAGATGTGGATGGTAATACATGGTAATACCAGACATGCCCCTAACTATCGACCAGATTCACGTCCTCACTTAGTCCTTAAAGGCCCCCTTTGCTGCGCCCACCCTGAGGAGCTCAGTAACAACCCTGTGGGCCAGCAGCCTCGTTCCACCCTGAGCCCCGAGGCTCCAGCATCTCACGAATTATTACATCAGCCACGAGGCAGCCCTGGACCATCGGGGTGGACGCCTTCGCTCCTGAGCGCACTGGGCTCCACTCAAGAGGATCTCACTGATCTCTGCAGCTAGAACAGAGGCGGAGGTCAGAGGTCACTACAGGCAGCGGCCACAGGACACCCGCTCTAAATAGATGCTGCTGATGTCGAGCTGTAGGATCTGAAGCTTTCTTTAAACTCACATGGCATTTTATTATTAGAAAACAATCCTGCGTGTCTTGGGTACTTACCAACGGCTCTCGAGGCACCACATTTTCGCTTCCTGGAGTAGAGCTCGGCTGCAAAGAAAAACAGAAACAAAAATAAGATCACAGTGCCACCCAATGGACATCAAAAAACCAGAGAACTTGTATGCTCAGCAAGACACAAAAATGTCTTTCTCAAAATTCTCATTGCTTTTTCAGGGTTTTCGAGTGCTGTGTGGGAGGTGACCTGTCACAAGTAATCCAAAGAGCTCGCCAGGAAACATTACCTCCGAATTCCGTGTCACAGGCCCTCAAGAACAAGGCTGGGATTTTATCGGAAGGACCCAAGCTCAGCTGCCTGGTCGGAGGTGCTGGAGACAATCACAAAGTCCACAAAAATAGAGCCCAAAGACGAGGCTAAGGAGAGAGCCGGCCTCTACCGCCAGCAGCGCAGCACCAGCTGACCAGAGGAGCCGCAGAATCAAGTGGAGAACCGCATGTGCCCACAAGGGGGCGCTACGTGCTCACACGCAAATGTTTCTAGGCAGTATTTGGAGCCAGGAAAGCAGTAAATTCAGTGAAAAGACACCCCCCTCAATAGTAAAGCCAGCCCAGGCTGAAGTCCTTTGTGGCAGTAAGCCAGTGACAGGCTGACAGAAAAACAGACCAGCCTACAGGCAGGCCAACTGGCCTGGCTCCAACCTGCTCTCTTATGAAGCCACCACCACACAAGCACCTTTCACCCTTGGCTGAGCTGGTCAAAATATAGAGAAGACAGTCATGGTGGTGCACACCTGTAACCCCAGGTCTTGGGGAGGCTGAGTCAGGAGGATTGCAAGTTGGAGTATATCCTGAACAACTCAGAAACTTAGTGAGAACTTGTCTCAAAATTTAAAAATTAAAAAGAGAATAAAGATGTAGCTGAGTACATAAAGCCCCAATGTCCACTCCCAGAACTGCAATAAAATAAAATAAGAAACCTAGTGAACAGCAGGGACAGAGATAGAGACAGACAGACGCTGAAGAAATTTACAAATCTCTACAAAAATAAAACAAGTGGTTCGAGTGGGCTATGATTAGTTTACTGTTACTGCTGTTCAAGTCAATTGCCAATTACGTGCAGATAACATCCAGACAAGGGCAGCCAATGTGCTCGTCCCAGGAGCCAGCCGCTGCCTCCACTCTCCTCCCAGGGCTCACAGGGCCTGTGCCAGGCCTCCTAGGAGAAAGGGCAGCTGGCACTGGCAAGGCCTCTGTGGGACAAAGGGGCCTCTCCCTCCATCCAAAGTCCAGTCCCAAGAGCCCCACTGTCCCAGGCCAACATGAAACTAACCAGACGTGTGGATCAGTCCCCTGAGCTCCCTCGGGAGCTCCACGCCCTGCAAGCTCCCACAGCCAGAGCTGGAGGTCGATCCCTCTGAGCCCTCTCCCCACCGCTTCCTGCCTCCCCTGGACTGCCACGTGCCACAGCCAGGTGTCAGTCCCCACCCGCCACGGGCATCCCCTCGCACAGCCCCATCTGAGCCATCAGCACAGCCTCACCAAGCCGCACACACTGGAGTCGCTCCTCCCTCACCCCCAGAGCGGCCCGAGCATGACCGCATACCCACTCCTACGCATCCAGAGAACCAACCCCTCCACTACTGTCCACACTGTGGCCATCGCTTTGGTCCATGCTGCCAGAATCTGCATCTGAACCACTGCAGCGGCCTTCTAACGGGCTCCCCACACCCGCACCAGCTCTCTTCCTGTACACTCGCCATGGTGCAGACTCATCTCCTGGGGATAATCGATCGCCTCCTCCCTTATCCATTCATCCACCCCAGGAAGCAACTTCGTGTGTAGAAGACAACAGAAAAAGCTCCTCAGTGTGGCCCTCGAGGCCTCGAGTGTGCTCTGACTACATCTCAGGTCTAGGGTGGCCCCACGTTCCTCAGTTTTCCTGTTCCCCGGAACAGACACACAGCCTTGCTTCCTCTGCTTAGAGGCTTTGCGTATGCTGTTCCTTGAGAGCCAGCTAAGGCCCCCCCACTGGAAACAGTCCCTCCCTGACAGCCACAATAGGTCAAATCTCCTTACCACCCCCCCCCCCACACACACACACAGAGTACTCCTCTCCTTCAAGAAATAAGCAGAAGAGGCTGGGGATTTAGCTCAGCGGCACAGCGCCTGCCTGGCAAGCGCAAAGTCATGAATTCAATTCCCAGTACCGGAAAAAAAAAACAAAAACAAAAACAAAAAAAAGAAATAAACAGAAGCCGGGCATGGTGGAGCACATCTGTAATACCAGCACTTAGGAGGCTGAGGCAGGAGGATCACTGCAAGTTTCAGAGCAGCCTGGGTTACAAAGTGAGCTCAAGGTCAGCCTGACCTGCATAGCCAGACTTTGTCTCAAAAAGACAAAACATTAAAAAAAAAAGAAAGAAAGAAGCAGAGGGGCAGGGGGTGCAGCTCAGTGGCAGAGCGCATGCTTGAAGCCCTGAATTCAATCCCCAGCACCAAAAAGAAAGAAGAATTGAACAGAACTGCAGCGTTACATCTGTGTGAACATCTGTTTTGTTTTTGTTTGTTTGTTTGTTTGTTTTTCTTCCGGTACCAGGAATCGAACTCACAACCTTGCACTTGCCAGGCAGGCACTGTGCCGTTGAACTAAATCCCCAGCCCCCCTGTGCAATCATCTGAACAATCTGTCTCCCTCACTGGATCATGAGCTCCACACGGGCAGAAACTGTCTGTTCATCACCGAATCCCTGGGGTCCAGGACAACACCCGGCACAGAGTGGGCTTTCAACTGCTATTTGCGGAATGAATGAATGAGTAACAAAGAATAGAACAATGGTTCTAACTCACTAGCACATATGTAACAAATTCTGTATTATCCTTCTTTATCTTCCTGAGAGCTTCCCCCAACATACTTCCTTAATAGTAGAGCTGTTGTGTCCCTCCCTTTTCTCTAGTTGAACAACCTCCATTACTAGTTATGCAGTAGCATCAGGGCTGTTGCTTAAGAAAACCCAATCTAAACAAAACTCGATTTTTTTTTTCTTTTTGTCTTTTTGAGACAGGGTCTCACTATGCAGTTCAGGCTGGCCTTCAACTCACTTTGTAGCCCAGACTGCTCTGAAACGTGCAACGATCCTCCTGCCTCGGCCTCCCGAGTGCTGGGATTACAGGTGTGCACCACCGTGCCCCACTGATTCCTTTTTTGTTTGTTTGTTTTTTTCCGGTACCGGGAATCGAACTCAGGACCTCACGCTTGCCAGGCAGGTGCTGTGCCGCTGGGCTAAATCCCCAGCCCCTAGCTGATTCTTTTGATTAAGCAGAAGTATTTAAATCCTTATATTCCAGTTACTTGCTGAGTCATCACAGGCAAGTGAAGAGACCTCCCCTGCCTCAGTTTCCTTATCAGTAGTAGCTCTGTGTGCATTTATTGTGAGAATTAAATGAAGAAGGAACTACATAAAGGTCAAGCATGTTCGTCTCTCCAGTAGTTAATATTTGCCAGAGGGACTAGAGCACAAGTTTGACACAGTCCACAGTGCCACCGACCCAACTAAGTCTTGTTTGCCTTTTGGCGCCTTTTAGAATTGTGAGGCATATAAATGTGTTCAGGGTTTGTTCGTTTTGATTTGGTTTTTTGAAGACAGGGTCTTGCTAGGTAGCCCAGGCTGGCCTTCAACTCGCAGCAACTCTCCTGCCTCAGCCTTCCAAGTGCTAGAATTATAGGCAGGTCCAGCTGTGTTCTGTTTTTTAGTTTAAGCATTAAAACTAAAAAGATGCCTGGCAAGCACAAGGTCCTGAGTTTGATCCCCAGTACCAAGAAAATCAAATCAAACTAAAAAGAGCTTCCCTCTCATTCCAAGCCTAAGCTCACACAAGACCTTGGTTGCTTATCAGTTCTCACAGGGCCAGGCCAAGCATGTCACAAGCACCTAGATGTGACTGTCCCCACCACAGACCTTTAAACAGCAGCACACTCCCAGCGCCTCCACCCCAGGCTTCCCAGAGCCTGCTAGGCCAGCACACGGCGCCAGACCTCCACTGGCAACGGCAAGGCCACTAACGAGGAGCGCACTTCCCACGCTGCACCCCACCCCCAGGCGGCCCAGGCAGCTGGCACTGGGAACCTTGAAAGCTTCACGCCAATGTCGGAAGTGCCCGGCACCGATGACACTCTAGAGCAGCAGCGATGGCGAACATTTAAGAGCTTTCAGTGATACACATAGTCTGCCACGGCACCATGCCACAGGTTCAACACCACTGCTCTGGAGTCTCCAGCCCAGGACGGAATTTTAGTCTGAAAGGGACCATCGCTCACTTCCTGTCTCAGCGCCCTTTAAAAAAACTATCCTGAGGACCCAAGGCAAAATAGCCTCGATTCTTGTTTCTCCATCTGCGCTTACTCCCTGGACACAGCAGCACCTCTGCCCCAGGTACCTGCTCTGCCACCTACCTCTCCCCCACATTCTAACCTCCTTGCAGACATGCGCGTCACCAGCCTGGGAAGTCTGTACCTTCAGCACCAGCACCTTCGCTGGCACTCACCAATTTGGGAGTAATTAAAATTTTTCTTTGAACAATTAAAACAAAGAAGCACTTGGTACATATACACAAGCCCAAAGGAGGCAAGCAGAGCCAGGGCGGTGTATCCCTGGAACCTAATATATTTGAATAAACTTTTTTGGTACCAGAAATCGAACTCAAGACCTTGCGCTTGCCAGGCAGGCGCTGTGCCGCTGAGCTACATCCCCGGCCCCCGGAACCTCATACAAATGTGGCCTGCCCTCAGCGTGGTGCGGCCTGGTGGTCCTTGACCACAGGGCAGTGCCACTCCCAAGAGACACCTGGAACCTTGCGGAGGTGTTTCTGGATGTCCGCGTGACTCAGTTCCACTGGCATTCAGAGACCAAGAGGCTAGATGTGCCGCAGTGCACCCGAGGGAGAACTGCCCCACCCAGAGCACCCAAGGGGCTCCCTGGACAATCCTGACTGCTCTGCTTCTCGTGCAAAAGACAGACCCCCACTCCTGGCTGGACTCCCAGCTTGACACAACCTCTGAGACCAGTGGTGGCGAACCTATGGCCCGATGCCCA